GCATCTAGTCACTAATCTAATGGTGTGGACAGGTTGTGCATAGCTTCTTGAATCTCTCCCAGTACTTATAGAGGCTTTCTTGGTTGAACTGTCTGATGCCACTGATTTCTTTTCTGATTATGGCTGCTTTGGAAGCAAGGAAGAACTTCTCTAGGAATATCCTCTTTATGTCTATCCAACAAGTGACAAACCCTGGCTACAGGTAATATAGCCAATCTTTCGCTGCACCATCCAAGGAGAATGGAAAAGCCTTCAGCTTGATATGGTCTTTTGGAACTCCTTGAGGCCTCATTGTTGAGCAGACTATGTGAAACTCTTTCAGATGCTTATGAGGGTCCTCACCTGCACTACTATTAAACTTAGGCAACAAATGGATTAGACCAGATTTTAACTCAAATGGAGTATCTAATTAGGATATTGGATGCCTAAGGGTTGGTATGTGAAATCTGGTGCAGCCAATATCAGAATGCATAGATATGCTATCAAAATTATCACAATTAGAATGCTCACAATTAGAGTGCACACCAATACTATCGAGGGTATCAAGGGTATCACTACAATGACTATGCACACTACCTTCCAATTTAAGTCTATTCAATCTGTTCTAAGTACGTTCAATCTCAGGATCAAATGCGAGTAATTGACCAAAAATGGTTCTAGTCATGCACCAAGAAACAGATCAGTTGCAGTCAACAAGATCAACAAAGTCAAAGTCAAAGTCAACCTAATTGCTCTATTTTCTATTTTTAAGATTTTTATTTTTTTGGTATTTTTTCCTGTCCTAAATCAAAATAAAATAAAAAAATAAAAAAATAAAAAAATTTAGAAAAGTATTCTAAACAATGAAATTTGTGATTTTCAACAGTGCTGCACGTAAAATGAATAATATAATATCAATAATTTCTGCAACAATATTTAGCAAATCTGCCTCAACTTCAAAATATCATAAAAAATTGAAAACAACTTCAAATTCAGCGATCCATATATGCATTTTGAAGCCTTAAATGTGTAGAATCCAATGTAACTAGAATTGGCCAAAAGAGTAGTCAGAGGTTAGAATAACCAAAAATACAAAATTAAAGCATTTATTTGTAACAAGTCCTATTTATTCAAATAACTAAAAAATGATAAAAACTCTAAAAATAAAACATATGAAAAGTGTTTATTAATAAAAATAAAACTATAAATGTAAACCTAAAATATGCCATATCAATAATAAAATTCTATATTTTAAAAAAGTGGTTTAATCAATATCCATCCATTTAATATACCAAAAGACTTACGTGAAAAAATAACATATATTTACTACAAATGCATTGCAAGTAAAGACCTTATAATATCATATTTTCACAATGTAAGAGAAACTTATTATGCACAATATGTCAAAGTTGCAACTATCAATTACAGAAAATTGTCAATCACAACAAATGTAGGATCACCATGTGTCCATTGATTCTTGGTTTTTAATGTCAAAGATGAAGGACTTTTATTGGTATGTTACAAGAGTGATCATTATTAATAGCTAAAACAACCACGCAATTATCAGTAAAAGACATATTCAAACAATTATTACAAACAAGCTATAGTAGCATCATAACAACAAAATGGCAAAATATTTAAAATAAAAAATATAATAAATAATAAAACAAAACAAAAGGCAGGAAAAAAAGATAAAAATAATAACTAATAATTGCTGAATAGTAAAAAAAAAGAGAAGAGAACAATTTGAACTTTTGATTCACCTTAAAGAAAAGGCCTGTAAGGCTATAATTAGTATATTGTTAATAGGTCTCAAATAAAGCTAAAAAAACAAATCATAATTCAAATTATTCAATATGACACAAAGTTTTATTAGTTAATGTATCCTTATTTTTTGTAGTCTTTCTATTTAATTCATATATCATTGTTCATGTGCATTAATAACATAATTTACACATGATATTAGCAAACACTACAAAAACTAAAATAAGCTATTGATCCCTTTAACTGCATATACCAACACATTGTTTATAATGTGTTATTCACTAAAGGACTCAAATCTTTTAAACAAAATGATTTTGTTCCTTGCTGAGAACTGAGAAGTTTTTATACCTAACAAGCAAGCAAGCAGATAACACATTTAAATATGCACATTGCACAACATTGGTCTGCACCTAAAAGTGAGGTAGCAAAGGGTAAATGCTTACTTGACTATATAACAATGAAACAATAAACATCAAATAAGTAAGAAATTGACAATATTAGTTTCAACTCTTCATTTTGAGGAATACACACCCTGTCCTTGAACCTTATTAGTCCATTCACTTGACAATAAACTCTAAATCCTTGCCTTCATCCTTCTGTCACATCATTTCTTACAAATACAGATCTTCTTGTTGGCAACTCAAACTTTAGTCAAAAATTTGTTATTGATCTTCGAAGTTCCAATGAACAAGCTCTTGAGTCGCACTTCCACGCCAAATTCAAGTCTCTAAATTCTTCAATCAACTTTCACTCTTTCATCATGATAGTTGAGATATGTAGGGACTTTCTACTCAGTGTATTTGCTACTACATTTGCTTTCCTCGGATGATAGGACAATGTGAAATCGTAGTTTTTCAAGAATTTCATCCACCTCTGTTTTTTCATATTCAGCTCTTTCTAGTGGAACAAATACTTCAAACTCTTGTGGTCATTAAAGACTTCAAATCTTGCCCCAAAGAGGTAGTGTCTCCAAATCTTTAGTGCAAAGACCACTGCTGCTAGCTCTAGGTCATGCATTGAATAATTGACTTTGTGAGGATGAAGTTGCCTAGAAGAATAAGCAATTACTTTTCCAGCTTGCATCAGAACACATCGTAGTCCTTGTCTTGAAGCATCCTAGTACTGCTTAAACTTCTGCTCTAATCTGCCAAAATTAATACATATGCAGACGTCAACCTTTCCTTGAGGTTCTAGAAACTTACTTCACAGTCTTCGTTCCATTCGAAATCCTTTCCTTTTTGCCTCAGTTTTGTCAAAGACAATGCTATTTTAAAAAAATCCTTCAAATGAATTTGTTATAATAGTTGGCCAATCCTAAGAAATTTTGGATTTCTGTTAAAGTCATTGAAACACCTTAATTTAAAAATATCATATTTTTTCAAATAAATTAATTTTTGAAATAAATAGGAATAATAGTTTCATTCAAATGGTTTCCAATACATAGTTTCATTAAAGTATTTCAAAATGAGGAGGGTTACAAGTTTGCATCAAAATAAACGCTACAGGACTAATTTAAATACGCCATGATTTTCAAAAATAATTTTCTAAGTCCTATAGCAATTTCATCCCTCCCGTTCACTGAGTTTGGTGCTGATCGTCTTGGTCACCTGAAAAATAAATGTAAGGGTAAGTCCTCTACTCTATCACACACACAAACGTACAAACTCACCTTACTAGTTCCAAACATTACATAATATAATTTAATCATTCATTGAACCACTATAAGTCAATTCATCACAACAACATGCATATCAAATCACATATCAATCATTCACACGCATACGCTCACTGTACACGGAATCTAATCACATTAATTTACATCGGGATGCCCTCACTGTACCTTCAATCAATCTACACACACACATGCGCTCATTGCACGTTAGCCACGTTTATTGTGGCACTGTGATCACAAATTCCTGATGCCTCAACCTCAGGGACTGACTTAGTTTCACACCATAGATGGTTGCCGGTTAGCCCCTGCTTCACAAATACGTGTGCGGTCATAGCCCCTTAGCAAAGGTGTTAGTTAGAGGCTAAGTCAGGAGGAGAGTGTGTGGCCTGTGGTGCAACCACGCTCATTGTTAGTGTCACCACCACCCTCTCTTTCACAATGTATTTCTACCGCCCCTATCTTCCACACCCTAAGTGTATTGTTGTAACCATTCATAGTTTTCAACATGTCAAACACAATCACGATTACACTCAACATGCCATTCACACATATTCTCACTCATTTCATATTATTCATCATCAATCAATGGCATGTCAATACATACATTCACCCACATTTTCGATCACATCATAATTTTCATCTTCACACATTCCATGTACACATATAATTAGTCACATTACACTCAAACACACCACAATTTCATCATAATCCTATGTCAATCAAATTCTTTCCATCACACACATCACCCAATAATTACCATATCATACTTCATAGGAATTTTCATTATAACACACATTTTTCTACATTCTACCTCAACTACATTTCATTATCTAACTTTATAACGAATTTCAAACTCAAAGAGATAGGGTAGAGCCCCCCTTACCTTGAATTGAAGATCCAACATGAAATAATGGTAGAAATCGTCCCCCACGTAGTATTTCGTTCTAAACACACAGAAAACTCCATGAGAAACTAAGAAAACAAAAAAGAGAGATGAAAAACTGAAACCTTAACTTATAGAACTTACCTCCAAACGTCCCAAACACGATCTCAACCTTCAATCTTGCACCCAAACAGCTTTGGAGGCAATTTAATCAGTGAAAATGGGTTGAGGGTCGAGAGAAGGTTTTAAGGGAGAAGTGGAAAATGAGTTTCCCAAACTCTAAACTCCTCAAATACCCCAAGAGTCGCGATAATCTTGTTACAGCTAGACATTTCTCGCTACAGTGAGACCCCTTCTCACTACAGCAAAAATATCATACCAAACTGCACTCTGGTTTCTGCATAATCTCGCTACAGCGAGAATGTCCCTACAACACACATTTTGCCTATATCTCAATCAATTTCAAACACACCCAATTATCAATCCACAATCAACATCCATGTCATCACACATATATTCATATCATTATATACATCAATTGCACATTAAATTAGTAATCCACATATTCATATTAATAATCAAATAATTTATAAAACTCAGGACGTTACAACTCTCCCCTCACTTAGGGAATTTCATCCTCAAAATTCAACCAAACTATAAAAATAACTCTGGATACAATTCTCTCATTCTACTCTCTATTTCTTATATGGCATCTCCCTTATCACTCGAGCTCCATATCACCGTCACCCATGAGATCTCCTTGCCCCTCAAATGCTTAACACGATGATTTGCAATCTTCACCAGATACACATCGTAGGATAAGTCCTCCCTTACCTGAACTGGGTCAAGATCAATCACGTTGGAGGGATCCAACACATACTTCCTGATTTGAGAGACATGGAACACCAGATGTAGATTTGAGAGATTCATAGGTAATGCTATTCGATACGCTGCAGCACCGATTCTACTCAGCACTTTGAACGGTCCAATGAACATAGGAGACAACTTTCTAGATTTTAGTGCTCTCCCAACTCCGGTCCCCAGTGAGACCTTCAAAAACACATGGTCATCCACCTGGAACTCTAAAGGTTTTCTCCTCTTATCATAATAGCTCTTCTGCCGATCTTGTGCAACCTTCGTCTTCTCTCTAATCATTTTGATTTGCCCATTTTGTCTCTGGACCATGTCTGGTGCACACAGAATCATTTCTTCAGTCTTATACCAACACAAAGGAGTCCTACACTTCCATCCATATAGAGCCTCAAATAGTGTCATTCCAATGCTAGTGTGATAGCTATTGTTGTACGTGAACTCCACCAACGGTAGACATTCTTTCCAACTTTTCTATTGCTCGATCATACAAGCTTTCAACAAATCCTCTAAGGATTGGATGGTCTTCTCAGTCTGACCATCGGTTTGTGGGTAGTAAGCTGAACTAAGCTTCAACTTAGTGCCTAACGCCCTTTATAAGCTCTCCCGAAGTAAACCTTGGATCTCTATCTGATACCACATTACTCGGCACTCCATGCAGCCTGACTATCTCCCTCGCATACATGTCTGTTAGTTTCTCTAATTTGTACTTCATGTTGTTCAGAAGAAAGTGTGCAGCCTTAGTCAATCGGTCCACAATCACGCAAATAGCATCATGGTTGTTCCTGGTCCTTGGCAAGCCAGAGACAAAGTCCATGGAAATGTTATCCCACTTCCACTTAGGGGATCTCCAAAGGTTGTAACAATCCAAGGTAGTTTCCCAACTCACCCCAGATTCCTGAATCATAAATCAATCCCCATAAGGTAGAAACAAGTATTAATATCATAATAAACAAATATATATTAAAAATACCAAAATATTCAGAGTATGAAGATTAGATCTAATTTCTAGAGTTCTAGTCGTTTATGGCACACAAAACAATAAAAAAATACATGGGAAAGAGATAGAAATTAGTTCCCCAATGATATGACTGCTTCCCCACGCTTCTCCTCTTGCTCTGCACTCCAAAATTAGGTCAAAGATGTGCTAGGGCTTCAAAGCCCGCTCTGGCTCCCCATTTTTTAGCTGAATCTTTTGTTTTTGTAGGATAATAAGTGAATTCTTGCTCAAGCGAGAAGACAACAAAAAATTTGTTCTAAACTCTGCATTTTTCGCTCAAGCGAGATAATTTTCGCTTGAGTGAGACTTAAATTCTGGGTGACTCCAACAAATCAGATTCATCTTTAAAAAATTATAAAAAATAAAAAAACAACTCTAAATCCAGCAAATCACATATGCATTTTGAAGCCCCGAATGTGTAGAATTTAATAGAACTAGAATTAGCCAAAAATAATATCTGTAGAAAAAGATATGGCCAAAAAAGTTGATAGAGGTCAAAAAAGCTCAAAATACAAAATTACAACATTCACGCAAAATAAGCCCAAATCATTTCTATCAATGAGAAATGGTATAAACTCTCAAAATAAGGCATATGAAGGGTGTGTTGAAGACAATATAAAGCTATAAATGTGAACACCTCATTAAGCCTTTGCCCTTAAGAAAATTTGCACAAGAAAAGTGGATCAAATATCTTCTATTATTTTAAAAAATTAAGGATAAAGTTTCTAAATTTAAATGACATGACTTAAATGCATTAAAATATAAATTACATGAAATTTAAGTGCAAACTATGTGAAAAGGAAGCAAATAAGTGTCAAAGTGTACATTGACAACTACTAAAATATGACACTTATCATAAGTTAGACATCTGGCTACATATTCGGCCACATCCTTCTTCATCCCATTCCACCAGAAGTTCTCACGGAGGTTCTAATACATCTTGGTTGCACCAGGGTGGAAACTCATTATGCTCTTATGCACCTCCTCAAGTATCATTTGTTTCAACTCATCCACTTGGAGAATGCACACACAATCTTGAAACTTGATTACCCCGTTCTCATCACAGAGGAACTCCAAGTCCTTCCCCTTACTCTTCTGCCTCATCATGCCTTGCAGGAAATCATCCCCTTGCTGAGCATCTCAGATGAGGACCAAGAAGTCATTATGGATCGTCATCGTCCCGAGATACAGACTCCTTGGCCTTACCTTCATAGCCATTTTCATGTCCTGAAACTCCTCAATTAGCTCCATCTCTTTCACCATTATTGCCGCCATGTGCAATAACTTCTTGCTCAATGCATCGGCCACCACATTTGGCTTGTTAGGATGGTAAGACAATGTGAAGTCATAGTCCTTGAGGAATTCAATCCACCTCCTTTGCTGCATGTTCAACTCTCTAGTCAAACAGGTACTTCGAGCTTTTGTGATCACTGAACACCTCGAACCTTGGTCCATAAAGGTAGTGCCTTCATACCTTAAGAGCAAACACCACCGTGACTAACTCCAAGTCATGTGTCGGGTAGTTGACTTTATGAGGACGCAATTGCCTCGAAACATAGGCGAACACTCTTCTGTCTTGCATCAAAATACACTCAGGTCCATATACAGACATGTCACAATATACATCAAACTTCTGTTTTGGGTCAAGCAGAACCAACACAGGTGCTGAAGTCAACCTCCCCTTCAGCTCTATGAAACTAGCTTCACATTCTCTGCTCTACTTAAACTCCTTCGCTTTACAGGTCAGCTTCGTCAAAGAGAAAGCTATTTTAGAAAATCCATCAATGAACTTCCTATAATAGCCAGCTAGCCCTAGAAAACTATGGACTTTCGTCACATTTGTCGTTCTTGGCCATCGGGCTTTCGCTTCCACCTTCACAAGTGATAAATGCAGATTTTACTAAGTTTTTATGTAGTTTTCTAGGTTGTTTTTGATAAAAAATGTAATTTGGAAAGTGAAAATTGCACAAAAATATATAAATATTCAATAAAGTAAATTGTTATCTTTAATAATTTAAATTGTGTGAATTTAATATAATTTTGATGTAATTTTGTTAGTTTTGCAGGGAACTTTGAGCTGAGATAATAAGGTTAGAGGATTAAGAGATAATAGTTGTTGGCCGAGATCACTCTTTTTAAGAAAATTGATCATTCCAGAGCCTAAGTTCAGGGACTGACTTGTGCGTTACCACTTTTTCTAGCAATGTAACCATGCTCATGAAGAAGAGATCCTGCGTTATCACTATTTCTGATAAAAGTGATTGTTCTAGAGATGGGGTGAGAAGAACAACTTGTGCGTGATCATTATTTTTCAGAAAAGTAATCATGCGCAAGTCGGATAGCTGCGCTTATTATTTTTTTTTAGAAAAGTGATCACGCGCATGACCAAAGGGAAAACCAAGCTGCTCATGACTCCTTTTATGAATAAAAGTGATCGTTCCAGAGAGCCTTCTAGCAAAACAAGCTGCACTTGGATCCTATTGTGAATAAAAGTGAACATGCGCATGACCAAAGGGAAAAACATGCTCTGTGTTGCCACTATTATAAACAAAAGTGATTGTTCCAGTCATAAAGGTTACAAAAAAGGCTTCTGCGTGGTTACTTTATTGAAAAGTAGTGATCACGCCAGAAAGGCGGGAAATTCTATAAATAAGAGATTAGCTTAGAAACTTGAGATCTTTTTTTTTTTTTTCATTTTCACACCTTAAAAGAGTTAGAGAGGGAGATTGGGGGCGACTTCCAAGCTCTGGAACTTGAGGAATTAGGCTGGGGATTGAATTTATGAAGAAATTTTGCAGCTCCTCTTCTTATACTCTTTCTCTCTCTTTTTCTTTTAGGAACATGTTCTGATTTCTTTTCCTTATGGATTGATGAATCCGATTTTGATATTGTAAATTGATTGTGGATCTCGATTTTAAGATCTTGATTGTATTGAACGTTTAATTCTTTCTGTAATGTAATTCTTGATTAGCTATTCATTCGAATTCAACCTAGAGGATTTTCATCAATGGAAGTTGAGTTAATTTCTCATATCTGAATTGAATGTCAAGGTTATGGATATCTTAGGGATAAGAATTCGTGATCTTGTGATCTCTTAATTTCTCATACTTAATGCAATATTTGATTGATTTACCCCTAAGGAATTAAGGTAGTTAATTGAATATTAGGATCATTCAGGCAAGGGATTGTCTTTTGATTAAATAAGTAAAATTGTTCATCAATCAGTTAAGGAACTTAGAGTTCATACCTACTTCAGTTTTGCACTTGATAAAGAGGTAAAATCAATCTTAACTTTATTTACATTTATTTCATTACTAAAATTGGTAGCTCTGTTTGGTTGTAATTTTCTTATTTATACACTTTATTGCTTTTGTTTGCAAATGCTCAAAACACTCCAAAATTTGTTTAGCTCAACTAGTTATTGATTTGTGAAATGGTAATTGGTAGAATTAATCCTTGAGGACGATACTTGGGACTCAAACTGAATTCCAAATTTTATTACTTGCTACAACTACCTAGTACACTTGCTAGTTAGTGTTCTGTCAGCTTTGTAACAAGGTTTTGGTGCCATTACCAGGGATTATTTACTTTCAATATCATTAGTAGCAGAGAGATAGCTAGATTGAGCATTTATTTTTGTTGTTTTGCTTTCTAATTTTTTTGCATTTTTTTTTCATTTTGTGTAGTTTTCTGCATAATTTATGCACTATCTTTGCTGCATAAATTTTTTGTATTCTTTCACATTTTCTGTATAATTTCATTTTTCATTCTTTTGCATAATTGTAATTTTCATTCTGTATAATTTTTTAAGTTTTCTACATCATTTTCTGTTGAATTCTGCATGATTTTGTTTTGCATTTTTTTGCATAACTATCAAAATTCTATACATAATGCATTGTTGTTTTTGCATTTAGTTCTACTTTTCTGCAATGTTCTGCAATAATTTTTTGCATAATTCATTTTTACGTCTTCATAATTTTCTAACTTCATTTATATTTTGTTTACTTTCTTTTTGCATACAAGGAAAAACAAAAAATAAAGCTACTTTATTATTTGATCTAGATACAGACAAGGCTCTTAAGCAATTAAAAAGTAAAGCAAAGGCAAGGAAGTTTCAAAGGAAAGTGCAGAAGATAACATCCATTTTTGAAGAACCAAGCATGAACCAAACATTAGGGAAAGAGAACAATATCGCTGAAAACAACAGGACAAGAACCTTGGGAGATTATGTCATTCCAACTATGCAAGATTATAATTCAAGTATTGTTAGATCAACAATTGAAGCAAACAATTTTGAGATTAAACCTGCATTGATAAAATTGATACAACAAGATCAGTTCTCTAGAAATGTTTTAGATGATCCCAATCTGCATCTTTATAATTTTCTACAGCTATGTGACACCATTTGTATCAATGATGTAAGTGAAGATGCTATTCACTTGAGATTATTTTCCTTTTCTCTTAGGGACAAAGCTAAATGTTGGCTTCAAGCTCAACCACAAAGAAGCATCACTACTTGGGCTGACTTAGTGAACAAATTTCTAACTAAGTACTTTCCACCATCAAAATTTGCCAAGCTGTGAAGTGAAATCACCTCTTTTGTTCAACAAGATAGTGAATCTCTTTATGATGCATGGGAAAGATATAAGCATTTGTTGAGAAAATGTCCTCATCATTGCATTCCAGAGTGGATGCAAATCCAAATTTTCTAAAATGGGATGAATGTTGTCACAAGAACCATGGTAGATACAGCAGCTGAAGGTTCATTGGATAATAAAACTGTAGAGGAAGCTCAGCAACTAATTGACATGATGGTAACCAGCATGTGTTAGAATTTTACCGAGAGGCATGTTGCAAGTAAGGGAGAATTTGAAGCAAAGGCACTTGAGACTTTGTTCAACCAAAAATCAAATGAAAAATTGGTGTGTAAAAATCTGATCACTGGGCAAGTGTACCCGTTGTCGAAGTAATATTATTAAAATTAAAATTAAAGTACCAAGTGTCATATCCACAGGGACTGTTATTAAGAAACTTTTCCTTAATTGCGTAATTGTTAATAAATATGAAAAATAAACCTTGTTGATGAAATTGCTAAAAGTAAAAGAATAATAAATTAAAAGGAACAGATATTCTAGTGAAAATAAATTATAGAAAATTATGAATAAAGGTATTCAATGTAAAAAGGCAAGTATCTAGACTGTAAATCCCCCTAAGTGTCCAAATAACTGAAATTCTTCTTCAACTACTTAGTTCCAAACCCTTATCGCTGCAGGAAATTCCAAATTAAATCAATACCTTTCTCAAGGATAATGATTCCTAACCCTCAGTTGATTAATCGGAATCTCTTCCTTAATTAATACCCCTAGGTTGCATTAAGTTCATTATGAATTCCATAATTAGGGTTAATCCTAATACAGAAAACTCACGTCTTTCTATCTCTAGAAATACATTCAAGTCTTTTTAATTGAGCAATGTTAATTTCATGCAGGAATTTTACTCAAATTCAAACAAGAAAACAAGATAGAGAAAATTGATACTACTCAATTAAACCCAAGAGTAAAGAACATGAAATAGCATTAGAAGAATTCTAGAAAATTTAGTCAATTAGGATTCATTACGTCTAGATACTCAAAGGAAAGTTAGAACTAAACATCTTGAAATTAAAATTACAAAAGAGATGAATTAAAACGCTTGATTCTATCCTCCTGCCGTCTTTGAGTCTTTCGTCTCCAAAAACTGCCTCCCCAGGTTTGAGTTCAGTTCTCCTTTTATAGGAATTATCCTAGGGTTAATTTTCTCGCAAAAGTTAAATTTCTGACACGCGTAAAAGTACACGCCCAAGTACATGACCATGTACTTGGCCGTGTACATCTCTGTTTTCTAATAGACGCCCTTCAAAGCTTTCCATAAAAGTACACACTCATGTACACGGCCATGTATCTGGCTGTGTACATCTCTGGTCTTGATGATACACTTCAATTGACGCGACCAGTGAGATACACGCTCATATACACGGGCATGTACTTGCCCGTGTATATCTCTGGTTTCTTTTTCTTCAATTCTCGACATCTTTAAGGCTTTCACTTCTTGATCCTTTTTCCTGAAATATGAATAAAATGAAATTAATAATAGTAAATTTTCTCAATGAATAGCTTAAAACTCTCAATTATCATTCATGAATTACAATGTAGGATCAAGTATAGAAAGCATTTATCAAAAATCAATTACTTTCTAAACAACTTGTAGGCTTAACTCAACAAATCAATACTTTTCAAGCTGGAGCTGCAGAAACAAGCTACTTGATATGTGATTTTTGTGGATGAAATTATATGAATGGAGCATGTGATGTATTTACACCAGAACCTTAAGAACATATTAATTACTTGGGTGATTTTCAGAGGTCTCAACTTCCATTCCATTCTAATTCTCAATATCAAGCCAATAGGAGTCAACTATATTATCAATGGAATCAACAAAGTCTTGCAACAAAAAAGTGATATTGCAGCAACACCATTGTCCTATGCCTATTTTCAGCCTCCACGGTCATATTGTTAAGCTTTTTCATCTCAACCTCCAAGAGAGCCACAATTTTCAAAATCTTTGTCTAAAAGGATGAATGAAATGGAGGAAACA